TATTATGATCAGTTAAACGTACGATCAGATGAAGACACCAACCGCTCCTGTAGACTGCGATTGGGGCTAGCAAAAGAACATTATGTTTAATATTTATCGAATCGATTTATGGAAATCCTTGCATATCACAACATATGGATTAAGAGCTAGTTTTGAGCAAAAGTCTGTTGCAGCAGTTGGATGTCATGTTTGAGCCCTAAACAAATTTTATGAAGATCGGACGATAAATATCTATTGTTCTAGAATGCAATTTAGATTAGTTGCGTCTCTGAGAGAAGTAAGCACGGAGTACAGGGCATCCACCAGTCGAGCACTCTTTTCAAATATATAGAGCATTTATTAAAAGTTCCTTAGCTAGTTCGTCTCGAAGCTTTTTTGAGATCCAGATCTGATTTATACTTGCAACGAACTTTCCGTAGTACATATCACATATGTTCTTTCTTTTATTCAATACTGTTGCCATTCTGAGAACGCCATAAACAAAGAACCAAAACAGCTTATACGGCGGAAGATACAAGATACAGATAATAATTTCATTGTGTGTTTTTTGTTTTGTTTCGATTTAAGTTTAAACTTGTGATTGAACGTGCACTTGTCCTATCGATTTGGACATTATCATTAATATATATGCATGTATAGAAAGTATATACATATATGTATATATATAGAGACTCGTCGTGTAATCGTAATCGCGTTATGATAAGTGCCGCTGTAAATATTCGAAATGGAAACGAAATGGTATGCCATAAATTAATGGCCAGAATAACAAACAAACAATATTACTAGGGGCGCCACATTTAAGGTCTGACAGCCCAGATTAAAGTTAATCTAGTACAGAGTCAAGGATGCGCTTATCGCCCGGGCCCCTCACACATTGAGCTTTCGATCTGAATGCAACCTAGCTGGAACTGAGTCTTTATGTTTCGCATCTTCAAAATAGAATTTGGTAACTTCGGAAAAAGTAATAATAATACTAGAATAAACTTCAGTAAAATCGATCTGGCTGAGTTTCTATCCATTTTGATTAACAACTATTCCAAATCAATTGTAACACTCAACTATCTATTGGATCCGCTCAAGAATCATTATTAATCAGAATGAAGAGTCAGTGTGGGCGGGGCTGGGATGGGGAGCATAACTGTTTCGTTGTGCTCATCAGTTTTCCAGTTCTTCTGCGTGATTCGGATAATACACGTACATTTCATTTTATTAACTGACCAATTTGTTTGTTATTTTGGGCTTAAGGTTTTTTATTTTCTTGACTGATCACCGCCCCCTCCACACTGTGATTGATGTAATGTGCGCGTTGTCCATTATTGTGTGTGTGTGTGTGTGTGGGGGGGGGGGGGGGGGGGGGGGGGGGGGGGGAATTGGTCTCCAGTTGGATACTTTGATACTTTTACCGTTTGTTCGCTCATTACACACATTTTCTCTGTGGGTCTTTGGGGCCAAGCGCTTTTGCCTTTCGGTTCATTTTCCACTCGATTTTCGATTCGTAGTGCAAAACAATCAATTTAATTGTTATCACAAGTATACGGAAGAAGAAGACACAAAAGAGAACAGAACAAATACAAAAAAAAAAAAACAGAGAACTTAAGTATAGTCAATAAAGCGATACGTATATTGTTGCCTCGCCTGGCCCGTGTTTTCTTTCTTTGCTTTGTTTATTTACCCATTGAATAACGGGTCGTCAGACCTGGATGATATCGAGCGAACGATCCGATCGTGCGAATATAGGCAAATCAAAGTAGCATTAAACTTTGCGATTCGATCTATATGTGAATACTTTTCGAACGAGAGTTGTTGTCATGCTCTCTCCTAGTTTACTCTTTTTCTTTTTCGAAACGATTTTCAATCGGTTTTCTTAGGTAAATGCATTCATTGGTAGCATCCATCTTTTGCGGTTCGATATCGACGTGATTTTAATACTCTTCACAGCTAATTTTAATAGAAAAACTTCATTTTGACAAGTTGAACTGACGAAAGTCAGACGACGTGTTGGGTAATTCCACCTGCAAGTGCGTGAAATAGGTGGAAAACAGCGGTAAAACATGTTGCGTTTAAAACTTTATATTCAAAAAAGATTTATGTTAAATGTATTTGAAGACACATTTGAAATATAATTTATTATTTTTGTCACTTATTTAACAATTGCGAATGTCTGAATTTGAAACGCGAAACGCGTGAAATGCAAAAGCTATTCGAAATCGAGCTCGTACATCGATAATAATATTTGTTATCGATTGAAATTATCAGCGATAGATTTCAAGTTTCACTATGAGCCAAATATCAATTGACATTTATTTACAATATCTGAAACAGTAGCACGCACAGATTAGATAAGTAGATGTAAATATAGTATGCAACGTGAACGTGAATCGGCTGAATCGGCACACTTGAGCTCTTTTCATCAGTTGTTTTCATTGTTAAATCGGCTACAATTAACACTGAATTATTGTATAAACGTTGTACGCGATTTTGCTGTAACAATGAAACAATTATAGCCCAGTATCTGAGCGATTTGTTTGATTTTTATTTTTCGTTGTTTGTCTGTTTGTAATTACACGTGTATTAATTCACGAATTGTCATTGTTGTCGCAATTGTTGTTTAATTACTACGCCTTACGATAAAATCAATAAAACACACAAACACGCACACACACACACACGCACACACACATGCGATACGATTGCTATAAAAAGGGGGCGTTGATCGGTCAAATTATCTCATCAAAAATACAAAAAACATGCAAGGAATACATGTGTTTGCGCATTTTAGAGCTTAACAGCTCTGCCTTTGTGTTATGCACATGCACCCCTTCGCCCCACCACACCCTACCATTCCTCTGCTAATTTCAATTCAACTCGACAGTTTGGTACACCCCCATGGCTAGGCGCCAAGTCGGTGGGTCAGACTGGCTTACCTTGAAGAAAGGAAAATAATAAAAAAACAAAAATAATAATAATAATAATAAAACCATAAATATACTTGTAAAAGGGTATAATTACTTTGTCAAGGCAAAGAAGTGACCTAGAACCGAGCCAAGCTGTTCGTCAATGTGTGTTACCATTGCTGAAAGAATATCCAAATGTTGGCAACATATTCAAGGATATAGATAAACGCATGCCCAACTTACAGATGCCCTACACTCTATATAAAGTAGTTTTCTATTCACCTTTAGAAAATCTGTCTTCATTTCAGCCAAAATAAATTCCAATTATAAATTATTAAATTAATTCAGTTGAAAAATCTTATTGCATTCGTTGCCCTCAAGCTAACTGTTGAATTTAAATATAGTTCAAGGCACAAATAAAAAATAAAGTTATGTTAATTACAATTTTTACGTCAAAAACTCCGACCCTTCCCGCCCGCAACAGCTTGGAGGTGCGACTGGGCGTGTTACACTTTTCAACTGGCAACACTTTAACGGTCAATGCTCACACATTATTCGTTTTGCTTTCTTCTACTCACAAAGTAAAAACGAGTATATTAGTTTTGTCCCTAGAGGGACTGCAAACTCGGAATATATGTACATATTTGTGCGTCAGACAAGGTGTTAAAATTGTGTGAACCACACCCATTAGGGGGCGGGCTAACCGCAAAAATCAAAGTGTCACACATTTGTAAAGCCGGGGTCCTAAAATGTGACTGGTAGACTACTTAAGATCTCTTGAAATATTCCAGCCAAGCCACATACCGCATTCAAGAGTCGCAAACTTTTATTTTTGCAAAAGTTCCCTTCTTAAACTTGTAAACTACAACCTTGGTCCAGACGACCCCCTTTACAGTTGCTTTAAGCGGTATTTACAGTGTATTGCGCTGTTGATGATGCCCGCGTACGACGTGCTTAGTTGTTATTTTTGGTTTTTTTTTTACGACGATTGTAATTAAAGCCGTAAAATATTTTTGGTCTTTAAGCTTTTGGGCTTTTATAATAAAAAGCACTCAAATAACTGTACATTGAGAGTCTAGAGTGTTGCATAGTAGTTATGCCTGAGGGTCTATGAGTACCATCTATTGCAAAGTACGGGCAGGCAACATGCCGAGGTTGTGCGATAATAAAACTACAGAAAAAGGCCAACTGCCAAAAAAGAAGAAGAAATTAAAATCTGTGGCTAACTTGGGCTAATACCCTTTGCATACATACTCCAAAACAAGAATTTGGACTTAAAACTTGTATGTAAAAGAATATAAGCTTGTAGAAAAAGGTTAAATGAATCTTATTCAAAATATTCATTCATACTCAGCAGAAGAAGAAATCAACTTTAATCTCATTAGTCTTTACATATAATCTAATAACTCTGAGATTTTTGTAGTTCTTGACATCGCCTTTCCATGCGATTTTCATGGTCTCATCTACATTTAAATAGACAATTTAACTTGGAAAGTATTTAAAAAAAAAAATTATATAAAGTTGTTCAAATATATTCAACAGATAGAAGAACTTAACTTTCCTAATCACTCAGAGATTATAGTAATTCTCGATATCGCCTTTCCATGCAATTTTCATGATCTTAAATATACTTAACTTTTTTACTGATAATTTGAACTGACTATGATTTCCAATCTCTGCCCTTCGGCTATTTCCGACCAATGTAATGATCTTTTGTCTTCTTTAATAGAATTTGTCACTTATGTCGGAGTATTTTATTTATGATTGGTTCCACTTTTAATATATATAATAATATATGTGTATATTGCTATGGGGCAAATTGTCTTGGCATGTCAGGGAGAATATTTATGTGTATGTATGTGCATATATAAGAAATAATATACTCGTATTAGTGCAAAGTAGACCTCGTTTCTGGATATATACTGTTCGACCACACTTAACTGGAAGCTTCTTGTTAAGGAATTCTTTCACATTTTTTTTTAAAAGATCAAATAAAAATATTATATTTTAGCTTTAATAATAATAGTAAAATTAACTATATAACCTACCTATAATAACAGTAATAGCAATAAGAAAATATTAATAATAGCTAATTATTACTTCTAGGTCGCAGTATTAATAGAACCAATGCAATAGGAACATTAAAAGTCTAGTGCTATGCGTCCGTGGAGCTTTACCATGGGCGTCCTGACGCCCCAAGATCGGGCCACACAACTTTGATTTCAACTAGACCAACAAACAACAATAGCAACAACAACAACAGCAGCGAAGACAACAACAAGTGGACATATTTTGGGTGCTGGTGCTTGGTGCTGAGCGCAACGTATTCCCAAACAAATGAGGGTGCAACACGTAACTAGCGAAGCAGCAGAAGCAGCCGCCAATAGCAGGTTGCCCAACTAGACATTAGCCAGCAGCAACATCTTCAGCTCCACAGCAACTCCTAGCCAGGAAGAAAAAGAGAGCCCAGCAGCAGCAGCCGAAGCAGCCTGCCCCAAACAGGCGTTGGCGCAGAAAACCCAACCGAAAATGTTACAAAACTCGAATGCAGTTGCAGCGGTGGCAGCAGCAGCGCAGGCAGCGACGCCCAGCACAGCAGCCGCTGCGGCAGCGGCAGCGAACAATGCAGCGATAGCCGCGTCATCGATACAGCCAAAGCTGGTTGTCATACGGAGGCGTCCGAATCAGGGCTTCGGTTTTACGCTGCGTCACTTTATTGCCTATCCACCGGAAGATGATGCCGCCAGCTGGCCTCAGGTAAGCGTCACAGCCTGACGATCTCAGGGCGATCTCTCAAGCTTGGAGAGCGTGCAAGCTCGTTTGGGAGAGCATGGCAGAGAGCGAGAGAGTAAGAGAGCCAAGAGCAATGCGCATGCGCGCCAGGCCAGCAGCCGAGCAGCCGAGCATAGCCTAGTGCCTGCATCTCCAATTAGTCATCGGATTGCCTTGCCACTTTTGCTTTTTTTTTCATTATTTTTTTTTTTGGCGGTCTGGCAAGTCTCTGCCACAGTCACAATCGCGCAGTCGCTGCCTGCCGTTACGTGAGCGCAACGCACGCGCCGCTTATTCAAATGCGCGCCGCTGCTTTCTTTTTGCCCATGCCAGGGTAGCTGAAGTATATCGCATGCTTCAAAGTGTTTGCAACGGCCGCTTTAAATAAACAATAGATAGTTTTAATAAACTTTGGTTTCATAGCAGACACAATCAAAATTAAAATAATAATATATATATATATAAATATATATATAAATCAGAGATTAGTTGTGCCCGTTTTTATGCATATGCGCCACAAAGGAATTTGCAGAATATACCTAAATCTTCCATGATAAATTCATGAGCTATTCTCAGTTGTGATAAGAATTTATTGAAAGCAATCTATTTGGCATTGATAGGTTTTCCCAAAGTAAATGGCAAAATATTGGCGGGGAATTTCTATAGATAATTTGTACTCTTTTTAAATACAATTATAACATAAACATAAACCTTTCAAATCAACATTTAAGAACAAAACTCGCTCAATACCGATTTTTGTTATTTCTTCTAATATAAAATATGAATTCCATTCTCGAATATGGAATATATAATGTGTAGAATATGTGATTCGATTTCGTTCAATAGCCTACGATTATTAGAGTCAAGTTATATTTTCCATAGCTTTTATATTAGTCTAAAAGCATAAGCTTTACTGCAAGTAAAACGTCGCGAAACAAATTCAATTTAGTTTCCAGCAATTTTTCCGTTTCATACCATTTGTAGAGCATACCAAATTCGTCGTGTTGCGTTCGCCAACGTTCTGCCTGTCTCTCTTGCGCTCCCACTCTTTGACTTGATTTTTTTTTTGTTTTTTGCAATTTCGTTGCTCACTTTACTTTTATTATATGCTCGTTGCGCTCTCTCTCCTCTCTCCTGCTCTTATTCTCTCTTTGGGAACTTACGCTCACTGAGCCGCTCTCCTATTTGCCATTAATTATACCCTGTGAACGTTTGTAATCGCTGAGCAAGGGTATAATAGTTGTTTTGTGGAAATTTCTGAAGTAGACAGAATGAAGCATCTTCCGCCACATAAAGCATGAATATGTAATTTATGGGTGAATATACTTTCTGATCCACAAAACTAAGAGCTGAGAATTGAATTTTAAAATGTACCTTCCCATTTTTATAACGATAAATATTGATTTGGAAACAAGATCTTTTAGGACACCAAATTTAGTTTGTAGATTTACAGAAGGTTCACACAGGTGTAGAATATTTTACGTTTTGCGTTCTCCGCAAAATTGAAATGCACTTTGGTACATGGAAATATGTTGAATGCGATAATAAATTCTTGTAAAATTTAAAACGATCGGACAACAAGCACCGAATTTATTCATGAGCGCATTTACCAGGTGTGCAGGGCTGAGAAAAGAAGAAGCGCATCTGACATATGCATATCATGTGGATATGTTATGTGAAGAAGGAAATTTATATGCTTGTTACGGCAGCTGAACGCTGCGCACAGGGTATCTGTTAGTCGGTTACTCTAGACTAGAGCAGTGTTACTTGTTTTGTTTTTTATTGTTGTTGTTGCCGTTTCACGTTTTTGTATTTTTGCTTTTTACGTTTTGTGTAGGAAGCGACAAACGCTGTCGGCGGCGGCAACGTTGGCGGCGGCAGCGGCGGTGTCGTCGGCTTGGAGCCAACGTCACCAACGTCGCTGCCGCCATACCAAGTGAAAGCGATGGAGACCATTTTCATCAAAGAGGTGCAAGCGAACGGACCGGCTCACTACGCCAATCTACAGACGGGCGACCGGGTGCTAATGGTGAACAACACGCCGATCGCTGGCATTGCCTACAGCACAATTGTCTCGATGATCAAGCAGACGCCAGCGGTGCTAACGCTGCACGTTGTGCCCAAGGAGTGCGATGTGCTGCAGATGGTGAGTGTGCTCAAAAAACCAAAATAAAGTAAAGAAATTGAAAAACGAGGAAAACGGCTTAAGAAATATACTTATATATTGTTAATATTTGGTATTATCTAAATTAGAATATCCTTTGAAACGGTTGTCACATTATTTGATCTGGTTTCGCTGCAGCATTACACGAGCATTGCCCACACGCCGGAATCGAATCGCCTAACGATGTCCGCACAGGCGCCGCAACCGCCGCCGCCTTTGGCGGGCGCCCACGTCTCGCATTCGCCGGCGCTGCTGGCAAATGGGGCTGCCATCAAGTCGACGTTTCCACAGCAACAGTTGATCTCATATCCCGCTGTTGTCAATAATTCGTCTTCGTCTGTGTCCTCTGTATCGCCAGCCCAGCCGCCACAGCCGCTGCATGGCGGCAGTCGGTCCGGCAGCATAACAAGCAATGCCAGCGGCAGTGGACTCCCCGGCAACAATAGCCACCACCACCAACAGTTGCAGCTACAGCAACAGCAGCAGCAGCACCATTCGCATCCGCAACGCCATCCGGCGCTCTCAGGCGGCAGCAGTAGCATCGACTTCGGTGACATGGCCCATGGCCTGCGTCAGCATCAGCAGCACCAGCAGCAGCAGCATCTTTACCAGCAACATCATCATCAGCAGCTGCTGTCGAGCAGCTTCATGCGGTAAGTGTAAACTATTTCAACTCACCTGGGCCATTGACGTCATGTGTGTGGCTGTGGCTGTGTCTGTGTCTGTGTGTGTGTGCCCGTGTCCGCGTCCGTTTCTGTGTCTGTGTCCGTGTCTGTGTGTGCTGTTGCCAAAGTCAAAAAGTCGGGATGTGGTTGCCAGCGGGGATTGGGTGGACGAGCAGCGACAGAAACGGCTGTTAATCTTATCAGACGCCAGTCGGCAGGTTGTGACGACTCTGCTCTCTGCCCACTGGCGTTTCTCTTTCGCCAAGCGCAGCAAAAATGACAGTGTTTAGTGCAATTAGACAGGCCAGCGACCGTTGCCAAATGGCACAGTGGGGCAAATCCAACCGACTGCCCAAAATGTCTATCTGTGTACTGTATTAGGCCCGTATAGTCTTCGCACATCGCACCGCCAGCAGAAAGAGGAAATAGCTCTTGAAAAAGCTCCAGCAGAAGCGATCGTTGTATAAAGCCACCACACAGTTGCGCACCTTAATCCACGACTTGGCCATATTATCTATAGGAATTTGCTGAAGAAAGCCGAATGCAACAATTTCTTTATGCAGTAAAACTAATTTGTGTTCGGCGTGTCTATTTACCTGGCTCTAATGAAACGTAACAATTTTGCTAAATATTGAAAATTTTGGTTTAACTTTTACAGATTTACTTTTGCCAGCTGAATAGGTTTTGTTTGTTTCGAATTAAAAAAGCGTAGGGCACTAAGAAAACAGTAGGGGCCATTCATAATTTAACGCAGTAGGCAAATCGAAAATAAACAAATTGACAGAAAAGCCAGCTACAGTCAGTATTCGTATATCTACAAAAAGTCAACAATAATTAATCACTATCAAACATATTTATTGATATATTACTAAAATGACTTGACATTACAGAGACATTTGTCAGAATTTTGTCGGAACTTAACGAATAACAAAAACCATATACAATAGATGCAGTATAATAATGATATACAGTTATAAACCATTATTCTATATATTTAAAATACATTTTCTTGGACTTATTGACTGATTAATTATTCAACTTAAGGCTAGCTGTAAAATTCTGCTCAAAAATCTTCGTGACAATTCATTTGAGACGCGGAAATTTTCAAATTTCTTACGAGTGGAAAATAAGTGGAAAGTGCTATTACAAGCTTGATGCAAATAACGTAGGCCGCCCAAAGCCGGGTAATAAACGTTAGCTGTGTAATGAACGCGATTAATTTTATCATAAGTGCTTCCAATTCAGCTATAGCCAGTTACATGGGTCGTCAGCCGAAAACAGCTGAAATTTAAAAAAAATTTAGCTATTTTTTGGCAACTCAATTTAAATGCAACTATTTTTAGAAATTGTCAGCCGGAATCGTTTGAAATTTTAAGCAAACTTGGCTATTTTCTGGCATTTCAAACTAAATGTAGCTATTTTTAGTTGTCGTCAGCCGGAAACAGTTGGAATTTTAGGCAAATGTAGCTATTTTTTTGGCATCCCAATCGCATTGCCTCTTGCCAATTTGCTCATAAAGCTTATCAGCTATTTTTAGCTACTTTTATTATTGGTGTTAGCCAATTTTTTGAAGCAGCAGCTGAAAAAGAAATTCGCAAACCAGGTATTTACGCTGTTGTGTACGTACCACTGCCAATGCTAATAGACGTACATACATATGTCGGATGTTTCATAAATATTAATTCGCACTTACACACACACTTATACACATAAGCTCGCATATATACACTCATTCAGCAAAACAAATTGACAGTTTACTGGCCAACAGCCTTTGGCGCCGTCGCGATTCCAATGAACTTGATCACACTGTATGGCATTTGATTTATGGTGACATCAAGAGACTACCTACCTTTAGCTATACTCCTTCCAATGAGTACCTGTGTGTGTGTGCTCGTATGCATATGCAAATTGTACATTATTTCACTTTCATTCAAGACACAAACAAATACAATTTGAAAGCACAACAAAATTCAATGCCAGACAGAAAGATGCGATTCGTAATCGAATAACATGTAACTCGGAAAATGTTATAAATGTCGTATAACTATAAATTAAGTGCATGCTCTAAATAGCATTAACTAAGCTCCGCAATGGCGACAACAATAATTAAAAACAATTGTAAAGTGAACTTTGTAAACAGGGTGTTTGCTCATCTGCCCCCCAACTTACTCATCTTTCGCTGCGACTGGGAATGGGACTGGGGCTTCATAGCAAATGTCCAGCGCAAAGTTTTTCGCATTTGGCATAATATATGTTTTGCGCATTTTTCGCCAGACTTTTCACTGTCATTAATTTGTACGATACATATGTATATGCATACATCTATGTAGGCGCATAATAATGTTGTTGATGACGATGATGATGATGATGATGATGAGTCCATGCTTGGACCGACGACAGCCTATTAAATTGTAGAACACCACATACAGCAGATAAATGTGTCCGTCGCGTCGGTCTGCGACTACCATGGTGATTTCATCATAATTTTAATTTTCCCCCATTTATATTGCCAAAGCATTTTGGTCATTGTTGCGTTGAATGAAATGTATTTATGAACTTATACTTATCCACCATAATCATTTTAGCAGAACGCATTGCAAATATCTACATATTGATGTTTTCATTAGCACTATAATCTGTCTTTATCTATCAATTAACTATTCGTTACTTGTTTTATACTTATGTTAGTTAACACTTTCGTCTTCCATAATTCAGTCTACTTTGACATTTAGTACTGTCCGCGTTTCTTCAATCATCAGTCCTTACTACAATGGGGTGATATTTTTTGTTTTTAATTTTGAAAATTTTATTGTGAACGTATCGATACTTCGTTTGTATTCACAAGTCTTCCCTTAAATGTTTTAGATAGGAGATAGCCTCACAAAAATGTTTCTAATATACGTTTCGATTATCGACAACTGTTTTCTATTTCCCTTGTTTTATGATTTGGTTGGGGAGGCGACCTTTCGACCCGACTAAGAGACTGTCAGACTAAGAGACTTGACAGGTTATCGATAAATGCACTCGTTTTCACTAAATCGATAAAAATCGTTGTCAAAAATCTGTTTTTTTAGCATATAGACTAGGAGCTTATAAAAGCTAGCGACACCAAAATGGGTACATAGACTCCTTTAGATCTAGATCCAGATGAAGATACATGCTAGTCTTTGGTATGTATATACACACACTAGGATGCAAAATTCATATCCTAAAAAATTTCACAAAGATAAAGGGAAGAAGAAGCACGACGCTGGGCTCCGTTTATCCTCTAGTCGAGTTTATCTACTCACGACTAGAGCTCTCTTAGTTGTTTTACTTCTCACAGCGCATTTCGGGTTCTTCATGGTTGCCTCGACGGGATAAAGCATCAAAATCGATTGATCGAGCCGCTTTGTTCTTGTCATATATATATATATATATATATATATTTTTATCATCACATTTTGTGTGTTGACTTTTTGACTGCGTCTTGATTTAGCAATGACGACGAATGCATTTCAACAAAAATAAACACATGCATAAAAATGCCATTGGCCATTGGCTACTGAGCGAGCTTCCTGTTTTCACTCTTTGTGTGTGTGTGTGTGTGTGCGTGTGTGTGTGTGTGTGTGTGTGTGTGTGTGTGTGTGTGTGTGTGTGTGTGTGTGTGTGTGTGTATGTGCGTATGTTTATGCATAGGGCAGACAATCCTCTAGAGATATGACCCAAACTCTGGAATGCGAAATTTGTGCGCCAACGTAGACACTGCAATTGAACTGTAAAAAGTAATAAATAGTTTTTTTTAGAAAGTAGCAAAACAAAATTACTGATTCATACATATATCGGCCACAGTTCGTTGTAGGTCATTTGCACAACAACACGAGTATATTGAGCTGGTTGAAGTTCGTTGAAGATTGCGTGGAATCTGATAAATAACATATGGAATATGTTTAAAGTGCAATTGCCTGAAAATAGAGTTATTTCTGAAGCATCCACAATTCATTTTATTGCTGTCGAGAGCTTTTTTTTTAACTCGGTTGACTATCATGCATTTAATTATTATTAGTTTTTACAAGTTTTTTGTGAAAGAAGCTTAAATGATAACGAAATAGATACATTTAATGGTTGCATATGGTAATCTAAGCATAACTCGAGAACTATAAGAGCTATATACACCAAACTTGGTATGTAGGCTCTTGAGAAATAGATGCAGATAAAAAATACTACACCATTTTCTTACCTTCCCCCATTCTTGCCAGAATATAATGGTATATACACAATTGAAAATTTCATTAAGATCGGAATATAAATACCGAAGTCAATCACACGCATTTCCCATAGCGTAATGACCTCGCGGCATATATATATGTCCCTCCCAGTCGGCATTACCCACCGAAGCACTCTTGTTCTTATATAAAATATATGATATAATATAATTGATTGCCTTGAATTGTGTTAAAAAAACGACTGAAGTGCATTTATCGATAAGTTAATCTAATGCATGAATTAAAGAATTCTTACTTTTGGGTATCGATTGAAATATTCAGGGATAGATTTGGCAATGGCAATTGTCTCTATTTGATTTGCATTGCTCAAATTAGCCGTGAGCTGCATACCAAGCACCTAAATGAAGAAATGTTCGCGTCGAGAGCTCTTGAATATCATCTGAAGTTTCAGCTGAGTGGATGATTCCATGTTAACTGTGTGGCACGTGTTACGGATGCCGTGTCGAATTTGGATTATTTTTTTTCTTTTGTTTGTTTCGTTTTTGTTTTTCTATTTATAATTTTTTTTACCGGTTATCGTTTCTAATTACGTGCTGGCAACTTGTTGCGAAAAACTTTCGCGTAGATAAGTTGAGGCACCACCCACTTAAATACATATTTCAAATGTTTACTTACTTCTTCAATTGACTTTCTATGTATATGGGGCACATTTAAAAGGCAAAATACAATCTGGACCATGTCTGTCGGTCTGTCCGTTCATCGCAACGACCCGAATAAGATGTTAAACTTGGAATTTGGGTACCATCTTTGGCCTCTGGTGGACGCGTCCGGTTCGAAGGCAGATTTTGCTAGCCTGGGCTATTTCACTATTCCGCCGGAAGTCGAAGTCATGAAGCTGGCTTGGAACAGGAATGCGTCACTAGACCATTAAAAATTCCTTCATGCAACTATTCAGCTGCCCAGCACATCTGCTGCGTTGCTCCGGCTGTTTTATGGGCTCTCGTCAGTTCCAAGAAATTGGTTCCAGGTCGGATTCTTGAGTTTACTTGATGGCCAATCGGAGGGAAGCATTTGCCATTTCGATGCAGGATCTGCTATTTAAAATGCCAAAATAAAAGTCTTACTGGTCTGGGCATTAAGATATGTGGTCAACTATTAATCCGACATGATAATGTTTCGTGCAGTCGGATGCTTGTTCGCTCGAATTGCTTCCAGGGAGCAGCTAGCCAATGGGCTGAAGGTCATGTGCCGTGTGTGCCAAATCAGAAAAAGAATCGCTAAAGTTCTTGACGTCCGCAGAAGGAACTCATTCCGGCCGAATAAATCCCGTGCTCCCATCAGTCCGCTGCTTACGACGGGTCGGGATGTACTGTGACGATATGCTGTATCTGTATCTGTATCTGTATCTGTATCTGTATCTGTATCTGTATCTGTGTGTGTGCGTGCGTGTGCGTGTGCGTGTGCGTGTGCGTGTGCGTGTGTGTGTGTGTGTGTGTGTGTGTGTGTGTGTGTGTGTGTGTGTGAGTGTGTGTGTGTGTGTGTTTGTGTGTGTGTATATATGGTATGTATGTATGCGTGGGTGTGGGAGTGCACAAGCGGAGTGTAAATTATACAATAACAAAAGCAAACGTATACGAATATTTGTTAACGCGCCATTGTTATATGATTAAGACAAATTTAATTGAACAGACACACACACACAGAGAGGGAGAGATACACACATATATGCACACACACGCGCAAAATATAAAAATAAAAATGAAAATGAAATTCAACCGCATTGAATGACAATTCAATTCATTCGCCCGCCCTGTGCTGCAACCATGAGCTGGACGCCTCCTCGCATGTCCGCAGGGATCCCGCCCGTGTGTGTTGTGCAACTGGCCACGCCCACAGCACTCAAAGCTGGCGAATCGCCCCACCTATTGCGACAGAGATTGAAATTGAGATTGAGATGTGTACTAGATGGCAACTGAAGATGAGCTTCAGATTGAGACTTACCCAAGTCTGAGGGCTTGAGATAATGGTCACCATGGGAATGAAGATGAACATGATTTATATACATATATATATATATATATATATAT